AATTATAAGTATTTTAAATGGGGAGTTACTTTTCAATCTCTCTCTCTCTCTCTCTATATATATATATATATATATATATATATATATATATATATATATATATATATATGTGTGTGTGTGTGGATAGAGAGATAATTAATAATATCAAATCCATAAGTGGTAAGGATAATCCAAGTAGGTCTTTTTAATACAAGATATTGAAAAGATAGATCCATGGATAGAGGTCAATGTATTTATATACAGAACAATATGATATACCCATCAAAAAGGGAAAAACTTAACACATCATGAAAGAATTTGGTAATAAATTTATTTTGACAGGTAAGTTTTTAATACCTGTCTCATCAGACTGAAATTACAAAATGGTTTAAATTTATCCAGACAATATATTAAAAATATTTTAAAATTAAATCACACAAGAAAAGGAAGTAAATGTCTAAATTAATTTACCTAGAAAAATTTTCCTGTGGATTTATGTTATTGAAGAGAGGAATGGGGGGGGAGAAGCAAGGTGTCAGCACAATGAGCAAAAGGTAGGTGGGGGAAGTACAAGTGACAGCTAATGAAATACATTGAAATTAAATCAAAATTTATATCGTCATCATCATCATCTAATTTATGTCAATATAATAACAATCATCATATACATAAAAAAAGTGAAAAAATAATATAATATAAAAATACTGGCCAAGCTACTGAACCCAAGGAATGAGATCATAAACCCTTTAACATTTCCTTCTCCAACATCTGTGGTATTCGTACCAACTTCTGCAGTGTGGAATTGTTCCTCTTCGAAAAGTCTCCAGATATACTAGCACTCTGCAAGACTAACCTTAACCCTTCATCTGATTTCTCGATTCCTGGCTACCTTCCTCTCCTTAGAAAGGACTCTAAAATCCACATGCATGACCTGGGATTTTATGTCCGCGATCATCACCCGCTGGTTAGGGAACTCTCTTTGTAATCTCCAGACCATTTGTATAAGTGTCTCTGTCTACCTCTTCTTGATTCAATATACTATCTCTTCTTTCTCTATCGTTCCCCTTCCTCCCAAAACTGTGGTGTACTCAATAGCATTTCCGACAATATAAACAAAGCCATCTCTCTACATCCGTTTGCACACATATTTGTGTTTGGTGACTTTAACGCTCACCATACCATGTGTGACACTATTTAGGGTTGCATGGAAAAAAAAAAAAAAGGCGAGAATTAATTTAGATGATAAGAAGCTATCATGAAAAGACACTGAGTGATGTTATTTTTTCTAACAAAGAAAAGTGGTAAAGATTTTATTTTCATTTGCAAAAGAAAAAAAGTATCCTTTTTCTCATGCAGAAGATAGGAGATTAAAGAAGATACCGGATCTGTCGAATTAATTTATGTTATGGCGCGCCGAAGGAAGATAGCAATCTGTCCATGGCAATAATGAAAATTTCAAATTGGTCTAGTGGCCTACGAAACAGAAGCTGGGAGATAATGATAATTAGGTCATGCGCTGACTGAGAAAACCAATTGTGAGGCCACCAAGAGAGAACAGGAAAAGAATGAACCATTAACTGTCAGAGATAACACTGGTTTGAAAAAAAAAAAAAACACCTGTTTTATTGTCCAAACCTGGACATGATAAAAGTTTGTATTGGAAGAGATAATTAGCGACAGAATGCAAATAAGTCCAGTTAAACCACCCACTTGATGCTGGCGAAAATCTCGATTGATAAAGTCCAGATAACATTCGGTTAATATAGAGATTAGGGACCACACCGCAAGTCGTGTGATGTCTGCTCGTGGAAGAGAAAGAAAAAGAAAAAAAAAGGAAAGATAATTTTTTTTTCCTTTGAGCAATAATTGCAAACACCCATGCTGCTGAGCATTCATTGGCTGAAGGGTGGCATGAGCGGTAGGCGAAGGTAAACTATGAAGAAGGAGGGGAGGCCTGTTGACGCCCCCTGAAGGGATTGGTGTGAGATGCCACTGTGAGACAGAGGGGAACCTGTTGACGCCCTCTGAGGAGATTGGTGTGAGATACCAATATAAGAAAGGAAGAATTTGGGAGGACGATTCCCTTTAAGTAGAAAGTAAGGACTTCCAAAAATGGAAAGTAATAAATTTTCCTATCTGAGAACAAAGAAGATCCTTATTGTGGATTTAGAGTTATCAAGGAACCTCAAACCCCGACAAGCCCACCCTGGTTTTGGTCGGCGTCCATATAAGCAGAGTCGCGGCGAGTGGACAGCAGTTGGGGTTGAAGACAGGCAAGCAGTTGAGTTGGAAGTTGGAGAGAGAGACACAGAATTGAGCTGTGAGCTCTGAGACCTGCCTCGCAGTAAGCTGACTGAAAGATCCCACGCAATCACAACCTCAACTTCTAACCAAGAACAAATTATTTTTGTTAAGAAGAACGACTTAGACTCACACCACCAAAACAAGTTTTTTTTTAATATCTTTATTTTCTTTTATATATACTTGCCTGAAGATAAACCAAAAAAAAAAAAAAAAAAAAAAACTTAAGATGTTAAGACTCGCCTAACAAACGCAAGGTGTCACGAATCCAAGATATTAGTGGTTTGGGAGAAAAGACGATCCTGTATTCAGCAACCAGATATAAAATATTGTTATTCTTTTTAACACATTTGAACTTTTTGAGTTGTTACTTTATTTTCTTTTATATATACTTGTATCTTTCTGTTATCGGTATTACCCTTGTTCGAGGACTCCTCCTGACTTGCATTGGTTCTTAGGCTGCCAGCAACTGATTGATTTCAGAAGTCTCTTTGTCTAAAGATCAAATCATCTGCTGATAGAATGAAACAATGTATTGCAATTCCAAGTAGGTTAGACTAGAACAGCAAACCTGCAATCCTCCTCTAAATTAATTCAAAGTCAGTTAAGGCTGTATGCTTTGCCAAATTCTCATCCAACTCAGTAACCAGACGTTGAGAAGCAGGATGGCATTGGAGCTGGGAACGATAAAAAAAATGGCTGATACTGAATCTAACCAGATTCCCATCTGAATCAATCAAAGGGTTAGAATCGTCATGTTTGATGCGTCTTTGACCAATACCAAGTCACATTGGTTTCCGTTTGCCAGGACAGGATGGCAGCAGGATTTGGCATGCCGACCTTCGGGCAGAGAGGCCACAATCATTCCTGACATCACACATGTTTGAACTTAAAAACACTGTAACTGACCTCTATGCAGATGGCAGACAAAGCCTTAAACTGGCTTTTCAATTGACTGGGGCACGAAATAGCTTGTAAATTTTAATGCCTCGAAACCCAATCCATCATGCAAGTGGTTGACTTTCCTACACCTTTCCCCAGTAACCCTGACTTTAATGCTTCCCTTCTTGATCTCTGTTTTACCTCCATCCCTGACTCTGGTCACACTACACAGTTCTGCCCTCTTGGCAACTCTGATCATGCCGTAGTGTCTATTAACATTTACACTCTCCCTCCAGCCAATAACCTCCTACTAACAGAATATCTTTCTGTTATCAACAAGCAGACTGGGATTTCCTTTATATGCTTTGATTTATATGTATGTATATATTTTTGTGTATTTATGCACATGTGTATATGTGTGCCTATATACGTATATGTCCGTTATATATGGATGTATATGTGTATTATGTACAGATATATGCATATAATGGGTGTGTGTGTGTATATATATATATATATATATATATATATATAGTGTGGGCATGTTTATGTAGGTATTTATATGTATGTGTGTGTACTGGTGTGTGTATATATCTATACATACATGTATGTATGTGTATGCATTGTATATATGTGTTTACTTGTGTGTTTGTATGGATGTGTATGTATGCATATGTTTTTTTTTATATTTTTATATGTATATGTCACATACACACATTGATGTATTTCATAATTATGAAGATGAAGTAGATGAATTTAACTTTTGTTTTTTATATATTAATTATTTTTTTCACTATTTTTATATATGATGATTGCTATTGACATAAATTTGACAATCATGATGATGTAAATTTTGATTTAATTTCAATGTATTTCACTAGCTGTTACTTGTACTTCCCACACCTACCTTTGCTCATTCTGCTGAAACCTTGCTTCTCCTTTTTCTTTCCCCCCATTCCTCTCTTCAATAATGTAAATCCCCAGGAAAATTTTCAGTAAAAGTAATTTAAACATTTACTTTCTGTTCTCTTTTGATTTAATTTTAAAATAATTTTTAATAAATTGTCTGGATAAATTTAAACCATTTTGTAATTTTGGTCTGATGAGGCAGATATTAAAAACTTATCTGTCGAAATAAATTTATTACCGAATTCATCAATGATGTGTTAAGTTTTTTCCTTCTTGATGTGTGTGTGTGTGTGTGTGTGTGTGTGTGCGTCTCAGCTTGATATATAAAATTCAATTTATTAATTAAAGAATAATGATCGTGTGCATTTTCATCACTGACTTTGAGATATTTTGCATATCAAGAACATTTTTCTTTTTAACAACAGCTATAAATCAAAGTAGAGATGCTTTTTTTGCTTTCCATCAGCATGGCCGATGCTAACCTCCAGGAGAGTAACTTGCTTCATCTTCTCAGCTTAACATTTCCACCAAAATTAACTGGAACAATTATATTGAATAAATTGCTATGTCTTTCCCATGACTTTAATGTATTTTAAAACTGACAATAATTAAGCTCCATTTACTTATTTCATAAAGTAAGCAATTTACACATCAGTAAACAAGTCAAAAATGATAAAAATATTTGAATATTTCTGTATTTATTAGTATTTTGTATTTGATGCTGTTATTAGTTTATCAATATTTGGTATTATTTAATATTATGATTAGTATACTTATCAATAAAATGTTCAATATATTTGATAATACTTAATATTTATTTATTATTATCATCAAATATTATTTTACAAGACATTAAATAATAATTAATATTTTCCTTTATAATGAAATTATCATGGCACAAATAATAATGTGACAGAGATGGAACTTACCTCCAGGTTCGCAATAAGCGTTGTGTCGCCAGAATGTATATGCAGCCATAATGCAACAAGTTATGTTAAATATAAATAAAATAAATTTGATTTTCAATGAATATTTCTCCTGCAATAGAAACGAAAACCATATCAGAAGTCTCATTCTATCAAGAAACACTGGCAAGAAAGAATTAAAAGACAAGAAGGAATTATGCGTACTCCATAAGTCAAGAAAGTCAAGAGTTTGCATATTTTAGAAGAAAGACACTGATACACATTATTTTCTCAATAACATTCATAAGTTGGAATCTTTCTTAGTAAATGATTTAGACAATCATGATTTCATGAAACCAAAATACAGTAACAGCCCTCCTCACTTACTAGCAGTCACACCTTCAATTACCTGTGGTTAACCCTTGAAATAAACAAGTCATTAAGTTATACTGAATAACATCCCCACAACACGAGAGTAATAATGCCATTGACTTGATTTCTTTTTCTTTTTTTTATGGCTTATCTATCCTTTGTGGCTTATTTAAATTTCTCATTCTGAATTGCTATCCATTACACCACACACTCATCTGACAATTTGTTTAGACTAGAATTGTTTTACAACATGCTGATGCATGTTGAAATCTTTACAGTATTTCCTATTGCTGAAGTTGTCATGAACATTTTTTGTCAAGATTTACAAAGTTTATGTTTCGTTCAGGTTCATAAAGCAATCGATAAAATATTAAAACTTAAAGATATGCAAAAAACAATATTACATTTTTATTAAATAAGTATGTTATTTTAATCATTAAATTGTTTTTAAAATAATGTATTTTCTATGATATATAATAAAACTTGTAGTTTTTCTAAAGAAATTAATGAAAATTTATTGTACTAAGATAAACATCCCATTAAAATCAACTGTACTTTGTAACTCCTAACCTGTTTGCACTTCTCCCCAAAATTTGGTTTGGATTGGTCAATGTATGGCTATTTTAGATGGTGTGATGGACGGATGAACAGAAGTCACAGAATTTTATATACAGATTAAAAAATAAGTGCGGTTTATGGTTACACACAAACAAATAAGGAACAACACTTGCACTTTCAATTTTGGAAATTACAAAATAAATTTCAATGAATCTTTATTTTTTTGCAGACATAATACAGTACATGCCACATGAGAGGAAAAATAATTGACCAATCAACTGTGGTGTTAAGCCTTTTAAAAGAGTTCAGCAACAAAAATTTCAATAGACGGACCTATTTTCAACAGGATTTTGTTTCCAGCTACCAACAACTTCAAAAGAACTATCTTTAATCATCTATCCTATTTCCACTGACCAAAGCCAACACAAGTTCCAAGAATTCCTTTCTCACTATATAAATCTCTCATACTGACTTATTTAAAAGGAACATTTATTTCCCGCAAAACTTTTATCAAGCAACTTTAAATTGAACCAACTTAATTTCCTTTTTTCATATCTCAATTGGTTTGTTTCAATCATAACAATTATTGTTATTTTGTTCTGCTCATCCATGTATGTGTTGTATTATTTTGAAATAGAGAAAAAATTTTTTTTACTGAAATTTGTTCGGAGGAGCTCATGGTTGATTTAAATATGTCTCCAAATAAATATGAACTGTAGACTCAGCCTACAGTTTCCCATAACAATGACAGTTCTAGACTTAATAAAGCAAGAAAAAAATCATATGAATCGGAATGATTGTATCAAATCAATTGTTAGATCTTCTGTTAGGAAAGTTGGTTCACTGTGTTGTGCTAGACAATTTTTCTTGCCAGATTCTACCTTGTATATATAAGTCTACCATTCATCCATGCATATTGCACATGTGATTTAGTGCTTCTGTTATGTAGATATTCTTGATAAAATATAAAGAATCTTTAATGTTATTTGTCATGACCTGGCATCTCGGCTTCAGTCACTTTATTTCTGCTATAATGTAGTTTCCTGTGTCTTTTTTTTTTTTTTTTTTTTTTTATAAATATCTTCATGGTAATTATTCTGATGAGCTTTCCTCTTTTGGTACCATAGACTTTATAAATTTAAGTGTGGTACTAAATTGGCAGCAAAGCCTCATCATTTTAATGTTGACATAGCAAAAGATATAAACCGTAAACTCTATGTTAACAGTTTCTTTACTCACACTACTCACTGGCTTTTTTGCTTTCCAGTCAACTTTGATCTTCAAATATTTATGTCAATTGTTATCTTTTGTCTACTTAATTCACAATTTTATAAGTCTACAATTTATCCATACACTGAACACTGTTACCACATTTAGTCTGGTGCTTATACTATACATCTAGAGATTCTTCCAAAGAAGAATCTGCAATGTCATCGGCCCTGATCTGGCATCCCAGTTTCAGTCACTTTCACGGCTTCCAAGTGCCTTTTCCATAAATATTTTCATGGTAATTGTTCTGATTAATTTTCTTCTTTAGAACCCCAACTTCACAAATTTAAGTACAATACTAGATTGGCAGCTAGGTCCCATCATTTTACTGATGTAATTGTTAAATGTAACCATAAGTTCTACGTTAAGAGTTTCTAACTTGTGGAACTCTCTTCCAGCTTCTTGATTTCCAGCAGCTACAATCTTCAAAAATTTAAATACAGCAATCACCATCTTCTGTCTCTTTGAATACTGTTCTTTTACCGTGCTCTTTCCTCCTCAATATTTTCTCAGTTTCCTTCACTCTCAGTAACCACTTGTAACTTAGTGACTTTATCACTTTGCTTGGGATGAAATGATTTAAAAATAAACAAACAAAAATAGGCTAAGTTTGCTAAAATTTATGATAAACACTAAGTTTCCATTATGCAACTTTTATTGCCATATATTGTTGTAACTATTCTACTGTTATTGTTTTTAAATCTATCATTGTGTCTAATTTGTAGCTGTTACTGCTAAATCACATGCCATGAAGGAGTTGTGCCTACGAGTGCCACCTTGTCTCTTCAAATCTCATAGCCTTATCGGAACATCTTACAGAGCCAGATTGATCTGCTGGAAGTCCTGGTGGACAACATTCTAATGGCTATGTGGTCTGTTGTGAGGTAATTTCCAGTCTGCAGATGGCAGGTTGAGCTAGTAGAGGACTCTGATGGGGTGGTCATTAGGTAATCACACAACTCTGGGAAAGCTACTTACTGGACACAAGATTAGACCAGTGCACTTCTTCAATAGTCCTGAGGGTGTGAAACACAAAGCCAATGGAACTAGGAGGCAAAAGTCTTCCAGAGAGACCACATCTTGGTGCTGTACAGTAGCACAAAGAGAATGGCAGTGTTGTAAACTTGTGGTTTAGCAGGTTGGGATATGTTGCAATGCTGGTCTCTATAGGCCCCTCATGGAACCTGCAGCCAGGCCATGTCTTTTAATTTATAGCACTAGACAAAAATGACAAACCCTAGCATACTGGTTAGAATATAGACAACTATTTTTTTTCCTTTCACTCTTTCTCCCTCCCTCCCACAAGAAACAATGTCTACTCTAATAGAGCAATCAAAAAAAACAAATCCAATAAAAACTGTCTCCCACTAATTCAGTGTTGGGTTCTGAGGAATTGTTGATATACCAATATAATCCAGAGACTACAGGCAATGTGATAATAGTTATCCAAAATTTTCATATCTGAGCACCAACCAGAAGACTTCAAGATTACACAGGCTAGTAGACATAAATTTACACTATTGTCCTCATCTTTGTTGTTGTTATCATGTTTTGCCTATTGTGTCTTAAGGTGCATATTGATCTGGGTAACCTTCAGGGAATTCTGAACTGAACATTTTACTTAATATCTATAAGGAGTTGCTGATTAGGTTGCAGCTGCTGCTGGCACCCATGTTTTGAGCAATATACACCTGAAAGGCACAATGGCCAAAACATTGTGATAGCAACAATGATGAGGACAATTATCTGGACATAGTGTAAATAATGATAACTCCACATCCCAGAAATTCAGACAAAAAAACAGAGATGTGGACCCAATCCACTAATTATATTAGTGTGTATATATATATATATATATATATATATATATATATATATATATAGGATAAGATTAAGAACAAATAGGAAATGTTTATCAATCTAACATTTTATTTTTATTACATTATTGTTTCCTGTTTGTTCTTTATCTTATCATTCTGTTGGATTTTGATCTATATTTGATCTTGACTGCCTCTTTCATGCAATAGTGCGATGGATAAATTGTCGTTTAAATTATGCAAAACTGAAAATAAAAACTGACATCTCATTTTAACAGATATATTTACTAAAATTACACAAAAATATCTTGAAATACTAAAGAGTAAATTTATTCAATAAAATAGCCATTGACTTCAATAAGACCTCCAGATGACTTTGGAATCTCCTGCAACACTTCTGGAGGGCCTCCTTATTTAAGTTGGTGAATGCTGCTGTGCCCCAAACATAATAATCAAGGGGGTTGCTTTCAGTTCATCTTTGTTGTTACAAGAAGTTTTGTTGGTCTCTCACCAAGGGCAGCACTATCTCCTTAAAGCACTTGATGTTGAGTGAGGCCTTCACCAACAAATTTGGGAATCAGAACAATCAGAGTGAGTTTTTTGAGCTGCCATAATAATCAACTCTTTCTCAATCCTCTGCACTGTCCTCAGGGTTGCAGTCTTGGGGAGTTATTTTCTCAGGTGGCCAGATTAGCATATTTGTTTCCAAGGCAGGAATTACGATGGTCCTCATTTTCTCAGAGATTGCAGAAATTGTAAAAACAAACAACCTACAAAATTAAAAACATAAAATGGCAACAATTTACCCATTGCCATAAAGACAAATGGAAAATTTATTTTAGCAGGGTCCTCCTGCAGGCATTTTCCTTTTGTCTTTATTCATATTGTGTAAACTCTATCTGAAATGTTTACTTGATGTGAGTTTGCAACCACCATCTTTGTGATTATTAAACTGATTAAACTGATGATTGCAAAAAGAGGCAACCTATCAATCCTAAATAAAGCACTTGATGACACTGAGGTGTTGAAACAAAATGGCTACTTTTGGCCTTTTATGTTATAACAAATGAATATATATATATATATATATATATATATATATATATATATATATACACAACAACATTTGAAACTCCCTATTTTATGTATGAGTGGCCAGCCAGGAGTCCTGGCTTAATACCCTGTGACTTTCTTTGGGGTTGGTTAAAGGAGCAAGTCTACTATACCAAACAAAGACTTTGGAAGAACTTGAAGGCCAAATGCACAAAGTTATGTCTTCCATACCACAAGTGTTACTGGTGAAATCAGTTGATGCAATTCCTGAGTAGCTAGAGAAGCTGGCAGTGAAATCTGGTGCCCATATCAGATTTTAAATAAAACCCCATGCTAAACGCTTTCATCTCATATCCACACAAACACTTCAAATATCTCAGGGCATGGATCATTTATAACAAATTTAGTTTGGAGAAAAAATAGTGGGGGAGTTTCACCCAATACCACAAATTGCTAGAAAATCAAAACATTAACCTGAAAACAAGTCACATTCTTAAATAGCCTTGTCAGATCAAGACTTTTATATGGATGTCATGCCTGGCACCAAACCCATTCAGAAATATCTGAACTGCCAGCTGAATACAACTGTTTTCTCAGATCAATGGCTTTGAGCAAATAAAGCATGTAGGTGTTAGTGAGGACCATCCTTCCTCAATACTTGTGGACTAACATTACAGAATCACAAAAGAACGGTACTAAATAATAAAAATCATATCACTTGAGCACTCTCAACAGCAGCAACAACTAAAATTAACAACACTTGCAACTTGAGTAGAAAATAATGACATAATCAAGATGTTGATGTTCCACATGACTTCAAACAAAAGGTTAGGAAGGCAACCCCAATAAATACTGGAAAGAGCAATAACAGCTAATGAATTTGAGAAATTGTTTTAAGAGTAAGATTTCATAAATTTCAACCAAAGATAACACTGGCTGCTCACTCAATGAATACCAAATGTTTCCTTATAAGGAAACAGCTCATATTATCATTATGGCTAATACTACCATTACCTACAGAGTATAAATAGATTTAGATGAAAACTCACGTTGGATGTCATCACTCTTCCGTGATATGATCGTCCCCATTTGATAAGGATGAGTGTTAACAGCATATAAAGTAAAGATGAAACAAGAAACATGATAAAGAATTTTTCATGAACACCTGAAAGAATAAATAAAGAAAAACAAAATTAATTTTATTTTTGTAAATAAATATTTTTTTTTGAGATCTTCAGTTTCAAATTTTAAACACAACATTTTACCACACTTAGCAAATGATCTATCGTATTCATCTACTTGATTGTATATATAACAATTATACTTTTCTACTTAGGATCAAAGTGTAGTATCTGTACCAGATACCTATCCTTTCTGGGCTGAAAATCTTACCAAGTAATCTACATAATCATAATATTATTCAGAAAAAAAAAAAAATTGGAACAAGTCAGAGAGAGGAGTGGGGATTCATGTAAATAAACAGTCAAATAAAATATTATTTAATACTTTTGTTACTAGTTCTCAAAAAGAAAGAAAAATTTGTTTGGGTTTTGTAAAAATAAGTTAAAAAAAATAAAAATGACTGAGGGACTATACAGTGTGAAATTTGTTTACTTTTTGTATATGAATATAAAAATTAAGCAGATATGAACCTTGAAAGATCTTAATGAGAGTTGTGCTTTCTTTCGTAAAGGATAATTCAATCATTATTTTGGTGAAAAGTATGCATTGCAAACAGAATGAGGTTCCAAATTTTTGACTTACCATGATTTTCATTGGAAGCAACATAAGTTAAACCAAGTAACGCTGCGTTCTCAATAATATGCAGGAAGCAGGCTACAGCAGCAATAATGCCATAAGTTTTACTGTGCTGAGCCAATTCCAAAGACATGTGGAAGTTGTAATATGCTATGGCAACCATGAAGCGTGGAGCAGAATGGAGTCCAATACATGTTCGCCAAATATAACGCTGTGGGGTAAAGCCTCCAATAGCAGCACTGATAGATGGCAAATAATTTGGTACCTGGTTAAAAAAAAAAAAACAAAAAAAAAAAAAAAAAAAACATTAAATTAATTAGAATTAACCCAGTAGACATTCCCAAATAACTATGCCAAAAATGCTATAAAAGAACTCTGCAAGGTACCCTAACAGTCAGTAAACCTCTGGGGGAAGGGAACGAATGACTAAAATGAACTTATGTTGATTGACTAATTAGTTTGTTTTTTTACAGCTTATCAACTCTTCGGAGGTTATTTAAAGGTTTGGTTTATTTTGTCTTATGGCATATCAACCTCGGTAGATTATTTAATGCAGACAAGATTTTTAGGATAGATTTGTATTAATATTATTTTTCATGAAAAATGTATTGCTTGTATTTTTAATATAAAAATCTATTTTTATTTTCATAGTGTTTTGACCCCAGTTTTTTTTGGGGGGGGGGTTTAACTATTTGCCCATAGCTGGGCCCCCAAACAGGTGCTACCACCCTGCAAGGTTATTTAACTGCAAAACATTTTGAATTGTAAGAATAATGAGTTTTGCTAGTGAATAAGGCATTAAGAATTAAGAGAATAAGCATGAATTTTTTTTTTTTTTTTTTTACTAGATACATTTAACCCATATCTGGGAGGAGGAGACTGATTTATACTTTTCTCAAGTTTATCTTGGGTGGTAACCAATCTTGAAGAAGAGAAAACCAACTTGAAGAGGGTTGGGTTCCATCAGATTACCTTGCCTGGGATATACCACTGCTACTGCAGCTGCAGCACATGTGGTGTCCCTGATGACCCTAATAGTTTACAGGTCTTGTGATCATTGTAATGAATGTAATGAATCTGGTTCCCCAATGATTTCTCATTCTTAGCCATTATCTATTACACCATTTACACATTCAGATGAAACGACCTTACAGTTCAAGGGCAGTTTAGCACATGCATGTAAACCAAGATTAAAACAAACTTTACTGAATGCTTAGGGTGGGGCAGAAGTAGTGATGATATCCTACCCGTTCACATCAACTGATTCTCAAAATTATAAAAGCTTAGCAAACTGATTGTTGGATTATCCAAAAATAATCTTATATATTAATAGCCAATATTCAATAGCTAAAAATATAATTAATACCATTTCTGTAAGTTCTGCAGAGACTAAAACGGTTTTCTGCAGAGACTAAAACGGTTTTCTATGATGAACAAAATTTATTCTGACAAAATGTGGCAAATCTTTTAGTCATAAATTTGATAGGTCTTCTGTTGGATCTTTGGAACTGAAGCAATTCAGTTCGAATGTAGCTAAGAAACCATAACACAGCTGATGACACTAGAGTCAAAAAGCATCAAACTTCTGAATAGAAATATGATAACAGAATTTGAATCTGAAAATACCTCAATAAATAAATGTTTTCTATTAAATTATCAAAATGGTTTAATTCTTTTATAAAGTGATTTGTTTCCATTCTCAGACTGAAAAGAAAATAACCAAAATAGATTCCTAAAGATCACCTGCTTTCATAGCTTCTGGAAATTTGGAATGCCATTATTGGGTGGAAGTGTTAAAATATCTTTGAACCATAAGGTTATTTTAGACATGTGATGACTATTACACAAGTATAGGACGTGAAAGTACATTTATTTCAAATTCTGAACCAACAGCATACATGCCCCTTCCATTGGCTGTCTCTTGACTTTATTATACAGATTTAGAAAATAACAATTATTTCTCAGTATTATTATTTGGGAGCTCTGAAGAATACTTTCTGATTTCTAAAAGTTCTTTAGCAAACTCTTAAGTCATAGAAATACAGTTCTTTACCATTTTATGTTACCTTGTTTGAGATTCCTAAATGCCATATCTATACCAATAACCTATTTTAATGTTACCAAAACTATGTTGATTGATCAAGATGTTTTTTTATGGCTTATCAACTGTTTCTGGGTTACTTAAAGTCAAAATGTATTTTGGATTTTAAGAACAATTCTTTTTCTGCACGTGAATATTGCATTAACAATTTTTTCTTTTTTCTATATTCAAGTCCTACTATTTAATCCATTGCTGAGGGAGTAGATAGATTCATAACCTTCCTAAGGGTATTTGCATGTAATTGAATGTAACATAACTAGGATTCACACTCAGCTCTCCAATTTTTCAGTCGAAGCAGCTATTCCTTACACCACCCGCACATTCACCCTCCAAAACTAAACTGCTCTTTTTTAATCATCTTAGAAAACCATGACTGATGCTAACCTTTGGGAGAGTAATTCATTGCATTTTCTTAGTCTAACATTTTTTTCACTGACATCATTTGGAATGATTATATCGTATGAATTGTTAAGATGTGCTACTTTGAAAGTTGGTTCACTGTATAATGCTAGACAATTTTTCTCACCTGAACCTATCTTGCAGTTTTATAAGTCTACCAATCTGGTGCTGTTATATATCTAGAGATTCCTGACAAAATTCAAAGAACAATCTGCAATATTATCAGTCTTGACTCGGTATCTCGGCTTTAATCACTTTCCCACCACCATAGCATAGCTTCCTTTTCTTTAAATATTTTCATTGTAATTGTTTCGATCACCTTTCGTTTTTGGTACATTGACTTTATAAATTTAAGTGCAGTACTAGATTGGCAGTTGGGTCTTATTATTGCGTAAATCACTAGATGTAACCATGAACAGATATTCCCCTCGGAGCGGGCCTGAGCCTTGAATGCCTATTGGGACAAACTCAGCCCAGACCTCAAATGAAACTCTTACATACGATCCATTGCTAAAGACGCTGGAGAAATGGTCAGTTCACTGTATTGCTCCAGTAAGTAACTCATTCCTCCTGCTTATCCTCCACCTTTACAAGAGCCAGATCAGGCTGAAAATGGAGTACTGTTGCAATATATGGGCAGGAGCTGCCTAGTTTTCATTTTCCATTCTCGATAGAGTGCAAAAGCGTCTCTGCATCCTTGCAAGTAACAAATTATTTCTCAGCCTACAACCCCATTCCTCACAGGCAAAATGTTACAAGCCTCTTGCTGCTCTATTTCTATTTCCATGGAGTGCGTTACACCAGGCCTAACCCTAATGGCTAAGACCCAACATGCCACATAGATTGTAGTGAACCATCCTCATTCCCTTCATATCCCCCCACCCGGTGAGATATAAGTTCCACCCAAGCAGCTTCTTTCCATGAACTACTACCTCATGGAACTGACTCCTAAGTGGCCTTCATCACTACAATCTTAACCTGTTCAAGTCTAGGGTTAACCATTATCTTCTACACATATCTGCATAAATTATGTCTTTTACTCTGTAACCCTTGACCTTGAGTTCTATGCTAATAGTTTCTTCTTTCACACTTCTCATTTGTGGAACTCTCTGACTTCTTGTTTTCCTCAATGTTATCTTTTGTCTTTTTTGAATTTCTCTTCTTTTATTGTCCTCTCTTCAATAATGTTTTCTCAGTTTCTTTTTCTCTCAACAACCCCTTGTGTCTTAGTGGCTTTATTGTCTTAACTTAGGATGGAATGATTGGGGGGGGGGATAAAGGAAATATTTTTCTCATCTGGAAATTATGTTTTTTTTTTTCTAAATAACAAAAATGTTTTCAGTGTTTTCAAATCCTACAATTTTAAGAATCATGTACCTGTCCCTTAGAAGAATAATGATTATTATTTTTATTAAATGTCTTTAGTATACTAATTATCATATTTTGATAGACTGTTTTAATTGATTAACTGGATTAACAGAGAGAGAGAGAGAGAGAGAGAGAGGGAAAGTTAAGATGACAGCAATGCTATCGAGACTTGTCTCTTGACCTTAGTTATTGATCTTGGATCAATTCTTATTATAAGCTCTTTGTTTATTGATTCTTACTAATGCAGGTAATTTACTTTCATCTACTTGTTTATCCATTACACATACATATACAGAAGCACACACACATTATATATAACTTGAAAATAAGATATTTAACACCACTAAAAAACCTTCCAACTAAGTGTTATATAGGAATAAAGTGCTGCTGTTGACACTGGAGTTTGAACACAGCTCACCAGAGAGCAAACACAAGCTATTTTGAATAAGTAGGTCATGTGATGGCAAAGGAAATGTATATATGGGAATTAGTGTGGCACTAAGTGATCACTATTTGTACACTATCTTCTATTACTATTCGGTGGTTACTTTCCAAGTGAGTACTATTAGTACAAATGTTATTCCAAGGGGTCTGACACCAGCATTGTTCAATGGCGTTACTACAGTTATATCTGCAATTACAAAGTCTACTACAACGAGTATTAAAAAAACGATGAGTATTCATTAACATTACAAAAGTAGCAATGAGTGTCCATTGACATCACAAAACTATGTAGATGATATTCTTAGTTAAAAACATATATGAAATACATGAACTACAAGAAAACTTTCAAAAAACTGTTCTTAACTTCACATATGAACTTAACAATAATAAAATCCCTTTTCTTGATGTATTTCATTGACACTAATAGTAATACATTTACTACCTCCCCACAAAAAAAAAAATCAAACTAGCATAAATACATGCACTCTAAACTATAAAAGTGAATGCCCTATTCAAAAATAAGCTATTATACTAAATTTAATACAACATTCCAATGTTGACATCCGTGAGAAAAATGTTTTACAATGAATTAAAAATTCTCGTTAATAATGACTTTCCTAATTACATTGTTTATGACCAAATTAGACGAGCCAATAGAAATATTAACTGAAAAAGAACATAATACTTCATCAAATAACCCTAAATATATCAACCTACTAGACCATAAGTGATTATAGCATAAATGCGTTCTAACTATAAACAAGCTGAAAAAGTCCTAAAAAATCTCATAAGTACTAATATATTGCCCACTAATCCCAGTAAAAAAATAAAACTAATTATACATTATACTAAATTTAACACAACCAACTTAATCACATGTAATGACTTCTTCATCAACTAGCATTTTGGAAAAGGCCAACATTGTATATCAGTTTAAATGTCCTTTGGGAGTT